ATTATAAAGATGGAGTCTTTTGGCAATTTAATTAATTAATTAATTTTATATTAATTAATTAACGTTTGAATATTGTGAAAAGAAGTGTCCTTCCATAAAGGTAACTCCCTTTTTTTTGTGAAAGGATATGTCCTTTCATAAAGGTAACTACCTTTTCTATGAAGGGATGTGACTCTTCGGAAGGTAACTTCCAGTTTTCACAACTATAAATAGATGACTGTCATAACTCTTTTAATGATGATAGATTACTTCTTCTTCCCGTTTTCCTTCTCTATTTCATAAACACAGAAGTCTGCAAGATTGCTGCTTCCAGACTTAAAATTGAAGGGACTCATGGGGGTGGTTTGCTCAAGCCTACCAGCAATTTGTAGTGGGGGCAAATAACAATCTAAGGAGAGTGATTAATCACGCCTTCAATCCGATTCTTTCCTTCCAATTCCTGGCATCTTGTAGTAAATGAAAATTTGAAATCATATAAAGGACGGAACAAATCAACTTATACCGTTTGTAAGTTTGTATTTTGTCAACTCCAATCTATTGGTATTAAAAAAAATTCCTATTTGTGCAAAAAGCTAGATGTGACGATGGTGATGCAGATTTTTGGAGGTTATTAGCCAAATTAAGTGGCGGTAAATTAGAGGAATGAGACAGACAAGAGGGGTGAGTTAGAGTATGTGCCCAACTTACTGCCAATCAATAATATTCTGCCCAACTCTCTCTACGTGGTTCATGCACTATTGCATATTCATTAATATTTGTGATATTATAACATACCAGCTTTATTATATTCTGAATAGTTAAACTCAGCGATTTAATATATGAATGTGTAGTTCATCATAAAAGCTCCTAATTTTTTTGGGTAATTTCTTAGTATGAGTAGAAAATTTTAAGCAAATTGTAATATTTCGCACATTTTCCCGATAAATATTGTCTGCTTTGGGACTAGATCCTTACGATTGTTGCATATTAAGGTGACTTTTCATAAGGCCACTCATCTTTACAGTGCTATACATGTCAGTGAACACATTTAACTTCGGAATTCTTACAATAATTCTTTCATTTCGCTCAAAAACTTGTCTTATCAGTTAATGTTCATTTATTGTTTACGAATCATGGATTCTTCCATATTTTATCGAAATGAAATTATGTTACACAAACCATTTAATATTTTCACACAAAGACATTTGTTTGTCTGTTTTTTTTTTTTTCTTCTTGTGGTGCAAGAACAAATATAATACGGCAGATACGATTTAGTTTTGTGTACATAATAACCTATACAGTTCATATATCTGTCCATTTCCATAATTAATAACTCTCATTTTCCACTTGGCTCGATACAAAAGAAAATGCTTTCTTTTCCTCTCATTTTCGACAACAACCTTCTTTCCCATCCCATGATCTCCCCTCTACCATCCACTTGAACTTCATGTGGCTAGCCTAGGCCAATTCAAAACTAATGAGAGGAAAGGAAAGGGAAGCGGTAGATAGATAGATCAGTACGAACGAAAAAACCATTGATAAAATAAGTCTGAACTTTCAACCTTTCCAATCACATCCTCACCCTAACCCTTGTCATACTTTCAAGCCTTTTGAAGGTAAGGTGCAACTTAACCTCTCAAGTCGCAACACACTAACATGTTATGTATAAGCTTCATTCCTAAAACACTGTTCAACATTTTGGATTTCGTAGAGTGGCAAATGAATTGAATTCATGTATTGGTTGATTGGTGGATCAAATGGAATGGTGAATTCATGGATGGGATCAAATGGATTGGTGGATTCATGGATGAGATCAAATGGATTGGTGGATTCATTTATATATACATCCAAATGACATCCAAGTCTTAGACTACTATGTAAATTTTGAAAAGATTATGTACTAAAATGTCATAATAGAAATTTTAGATACCGAAATGTAATTTTCCAATGATGTTTTTTGTCTAAAAAATAAATTTTAAGTACCAAAATGTAAAATGTATATGTACTAAACTATAATTTTTTCATATGGATCAAGTTATGAATCCACCAATCTACTTGAATTTGGATCAAATGGATTGAATTAGTTGGATATTTTAGTAGATGGATAGGAATGGATTCTCGGATTTGGGGTACCAAATTGCCACTTCTAGGTTTTCGTAGTGGTTGTCAGCTGATCATAATATAAATATCAAATGACATATTACTGTGTGTATGGTATGTTCATATATCTTGAAGCATATATCATATTTCAAACATAACCAACATGCGACAAATGGACCTACTTATATATATATAGCGTGTGTGGTAAAGACTGGTATACTTCAGCAGTATAGTATATTCCACAATATCTGGTCGTTAGATGTACTTCGATAAGTTCCGACCAATATGAACGATCAATTATTGTTTCCTACTAAATTGAACTTGTAGTTTGGGTTTAGAGAATCATAAACTGGGGTTTATCCATTCAAATTTAGACAATAGTATAATATCTCAAAATTGATTTAATTAATGGTATAGATAAAAATAACATACTAAAAGTATATAGAATATCGTATGCGTCATGATAACAATCTGACTCATATATATTAATAGATAGTTAAGAACCAAATCACATGCTCCAAACAAAATCAAAACTTTCTTGTTTACCTAAACTTGCACCACAAGGTTTTTATGGTGAGAGGAGGATGAAAAAGAAGATGAAATGAATGATAAATAGAAAAAGAAATTTTTTGAAGTAATTGAATGAAAAACCATCTACTAAAAAAAAGTGAAGTGGAAGGTGAACCAAAGCCCACAAACTACAACCACAACAACCTTTCATTCATATCTTCTCGCTTCCCTTTTTCATTATTCTAGTCATCTATCTAATTTCCTCCCCATCCCTTTCTCTCCCTCTCCATCCCAATCTAAAAGCCCAACCTCCAACCCTTCTAGAAGCCCTCTCCCTCCCTATCTCTCTCATGCATGATGGTGCAATTTAGCACCAATAGATCAATAAAGATAAAAGGCCAACAACAACTACCATATACACTAATTATATTATGCACAGACAAAATAACATGTAACCATCCTTTTTGTTTTCTCAAAAAATAACTTCTTTTTTCTTTTTTTCATGTGAAGAAAAGAACAACACCAACCCCACTTGCCCATTTTCATTTTCCCTTGACATTTTCCCCACATCTCAACTACCTTTGCCATAAATATGTATCTATGCAAATTGCAAAACACCACCCTCCAAAAAATTTCAAACCCAACTAATTAATTATGATTTAACCCTTTCATTATTATTTTAAACCAAGCAGCAGCAACAATCCTCAGTCAACTTGAGTACCCTTTTGAACACTTGAAAGATCAATCCATCCAGCCATCCCAAACATTAATACAAACAAAAGTGAAAGGGGGGTAATTGAACAGAACACTAACACAGAAATGACACCCTGAATTCTCTGCTCTGTCACTACACATGTACTTTTCTTATTCATGAAGATGGCAAGACTGGACAAGCTGGATTACTACAAGGGACAAATGCAAGTGGACTCATTTGTTTAGTTGAGAATTGTCTCATCAAGAGCCGGGGGAAATTTTTTTTACCATTATGGTTGTGATTCAATGGTAAGGACATTGATTTTAGAAAGAAAATAAAATCTCCATCTTGATTTTACACGCCGTTTTCCTTAGTATAAAGCAACTTACAATTATATCAAGCATGCCTTGATTCATCCGCCATCATTATTGAGCCAATAGTGCATAATAGGAAAAAAAGAGAGGATACATTTGGAATCATAATGAGCATCTGATGGAATTGAATGATGCAATTTGATCTAATTGTCTCAAAATGAAGTGACTGGGTCGAATTACCTTGTTCATAACACTGAATAGGGATGCAACAATTGAATTGAAGTAATTTCAATTGCTTCGTTTTACATCGATTTAAATTAACACGAAAAAAAATATAAGTGTTTTGAAATAATGCATCAATTATAAAATAAGATAATTTCGAAACAATGAGGCTAAATTGAATTGTCTCATTTCTGAAATTCATCATCATCCAAACCAACTCCTAGAACCATGTTCAGGTGTGGTTCAACTTTGATTCGCCCAGGCGACAATGCTGCACTGCTGGGATCAGGGTTCAGGAGAGATTAATTATAAATTAGGGACAACCAAGTAAAATAGTAATATTAAATGTGAGGCCAAAATGAGATAAGGAAAAAATAATATTAAAAAAGGGACAGATTGGTTGGTTAGTTGGAGCAGACTGACTAGCTAAGTAGCTAGGGGTGAGTCAGTGAGTGAGTTTACAAAAAATCGCCAATTGGTTGTGTTTTATTCCATGTCCAACATAACAACAACAACTCATGTTACTCCTTTTTTAATAATAATTTGTTTACTTTTGTCCAATAATGGCCTGATTATGAAACTTCATAGTACAATTATTTTCTTTCATATCTTGTAAGATTAACTGTCACATTAGAATTATAAAACACCAAAAAGGAAGTTATTAGCATTGTTTGCACACACAAATAGCATAGATATCCTTGTTGAAAAATCATATTGATTTTTTAACAATGAATAATTAAACGAGTTCGTAGATTTATTTTATGTAGCTAAACTAGAGAACTCCCGTTATCAAATCGAAGTAACCATAGCACATAGTAGCTACTAAAGTTACCTGTAGCAAGCAAGGTTGACTACCAGTTTTTAACTTTATGAATTAACCATTTTTTTTTTAACTGGATGATCAATAATGTAATAGCTGGATGAGCTTAGTTACACAGAGACCTTGCATCCAATCCATTTCTACTTTCCATACCAACCTGAAAACCCGACTTACCTACACAAACACTGCACTTCATTAATTAATTGATAATGCCCCCACCCCCTCCAAATTAGTTACAAATTTTGCCCTAATCCGGGATGGGATTAGGTGCTAACCCTTATAAGGGTTAGCACCGTGATAACTAGCAAAAATCACTACGGATTATTATAAAATCAATACAATATTTAAGTTAAATCACTACTAATTCAAACTAGTAGTAGTTTTTCCTTTGGTTAGGACGGTGCTAACTATTGTACAATTAGCACTGTAGCCGTTCCCCTAATCCACATTTCTTTAATAATAATTTCCCACATAAACCTCCCAAATCCCTCTGATATTATTTGGGCAGCAATGGTATTTTTTTAAAAACAATTAATAAAAATAATAGAGATAGGGTAAAGGTAGAGTAGTACCCACCCTCCACTCTCCTACCTGTCTCACCAACTCGCATCTAGAAGCTTTTTATTTTTCTTCCTCTTATTTGATTTCTCCCTCTTTCTCTTAAAAAAAAAAGGAGTCAAAAGCCTATAAATCCACATTTCATCAAAGTCCTTTCAAGGGCCGGCTTCTTCTTCTTCCTTCTGCTTCTGCTTCTCCTTCTACTTCTGCTTCTGCTTAAAGTTAAGCTGGATTAAACTTAATTAAAAGCCGTCACAAAATCGAAGCTCAAAAAGGAACTAGTTTGCCGGGAAAGGGAAAACGAATATGGGGAGATCGCCGTGCTGCGAGAAAGCGCACACCAACAAAGGCGCCTGGACCAAAGAGGAAGACGACCGCCTCGTCGCCTACATCAAAGCCCACGGCGAAGGCTGCTGGCGTTCTCTACCCAAAGCCGCCGGGCTCCTCCGCTGCGGCAAGAGCTGCCGCCTCCGCTGGATCAACTACCTCCGCCCCGACCTCAAGCGCGGCAACTTCTCCGACGACGAGGACGAGCTCATCATTAAGCTCCACTCCCTCCTCGGCAACAAGTCCGTCTCCTCTCTCCTCCTATTACATTTTTTTTTCTGGCCAAAAAAAGAATCCGCCGTTCAAATTTGTTCGAATTATTTTTTTAGGGTTTTAACAATTTGTCTTGTTTTGTTCAGATGGTCGCTGATTGCGGGAAGATTGCCAGGAAGAACGGATAACGAGATTAAGAACTACTGGAACACTCACATCCGGCGGAAGCTGCTCAATCGCGGCATAGATCCGGCGACTCACCGCCCGCTCTCCGAATCCGCACAAGCCGGGAGCGGAGGAACTCCGCCCTCCGCTGCCGCCTCCGCCGCCGTCGCGACGACTGCCACCACTTCGTCGACGACGACGATTTCGTTTGCCGCGGCCGCGTGCAGTAGGGATCAGGAAGACAGTAAAACCGACGTCAAGAGCCTGGCCACGCCGCCGCCGACGGTGGCGGTGGTGAAGAAGGAAGTGGAGAAGTGTCCAGATTTGAATCTGGAGCTGAGAATAAGCCCGCCGTACCAAGAACAGTTCTACCGGGAAACGACGCCGTCTGGTAAGGAGGAGCTGTGCTTCGAATGTAGGCTGGGGTTGGAGAGTAGCAGGGATTGCAGTTGCAGAGGGAGAAGACCGTTGATGGTGAGTATCAGTAGTGGGCCGAAGGAGTCAGCTGCTGGGTTCGATTTCTTGGGCTTGAAAAGTGGGGTTTTGGACTACAGAAGCTTGGAGATGAAATAGTGGTGTGGTTTAGAATTCATTAATTACCCTCCTCTCCTCTCCTCCCAAGGTAAAAAAAAAAAAATTACTTGCTAGCTGAGTGCCTGAGTCTGCTTCTGTATCTCTTGGGTGATATTATGGTGGTAATGATGCTAAAGATTAGATTAACCTACTTGATTAAGTAGTATGGCAATTTGTATGATGGTAATATCATATGTTGTATGTACTTATTACATATATACTCATGGATACAGATTTTGTTTGCCAATTGTTTAATTTTTTGTATCTTTTTTAGGTTAAATGTCAAATTTGTCTATGGCTTCTTATTTGTTTCTCCTGGAAAGTGGGGGGAATTGTCTGCAGCCAGACCATTCAAAGTTTTGTCTTTTTTTACTTGGTTGGTTGCTGGGCCTAATGCCTTCTGCAAAGTGTACTTAGGATCGGCTAATCACTTAATTAATCTTCGACAACTACCATGGTCTAGGCCAGGCACCTAACTTCTTGGGGTTCGCGAAAAGGATTCTTTCCACTCTGAGTTACGAACTAGATAAATGGATGAATCGTAACTTTTTTGGATGAAAGTAGCTAGTCCCCAATAGATTTTCCTATTGTGCTTTATAAGCAGCTTTGTGAGAATGTGTTCACGGTATTACGTGGTTGACGGATCAAACGTGAATACAAAAATATCATTTTTTATTCAATGGTTTTGAAATATTCGTGAATGATCACAAAACACTGTGAGCGCGTTCTCACATATGTCCTCTGAGCACAATAGTAGATTGGCCTCATACATATAATTTAGCTGAAACATTCACAGCCCTATTTGCGAGTACATGCTCGCATCGATTGATCGTATGTTGAGAAGTTAATGATTGCTGGATAAACATGATAGCAATTTTGTAAATAAAATGTCACCACCTCCTCTAACGACCTCAAAGTGATAGTCATGCGATCGAATCGGAGCCAACACTTGAAGCACATTCTCACAAATGAATTGTGAGCGACCGTCATATACGTGTGATTCTAAAACGGAGGGTTCGGGTTGCTACTTAATTATTATTCAATAATTTGGTTTGATTTCACTCAGACCATTTAAACCTGTTGCAGCAGAAAACAGTCTTCCTGTTTGATTTATCCTTTTAGATGAAAAAGGGTTAAAAAGGGCATATTTTGGTGGATTGTCCATATCTTGTAGAAAGCCTTTTTGGTCTCATGAATGGTATCCATCTAGCTAAGGCTTTCAGTTGTGGGGGTAAGTAGTAGAGCTAAAAATGTACATGTAGGGATTGAATTGTGCCACCACATTTCCCCAAGAATATTCCCTCTTCTCCTTATTTGCCACCTTATTAACAAGCATCTATTTACTTGTTTAAAGCGAATGAAATTGCTACCTAAAAAATTAAGGTTCTCAAGAAATTTTTTTTCCTAAAAATATTTTCATCAAAGTGTCATTGTATGAAAACCAAGTAGATTAAATTTGGAGTTGAAACGTCATAAATATTGCTAGTCTAAGATGTTGCTCTTGGTTGAGAATCAAAACAATAAGATTTGTAATGCAGTGTATAACAATAAATTAATATATATAAACCTGAAGTTTGGTTACTGTTGCCAAACAAATTACAAATTAGTCATTGTTTAACAAATTACAAATTAGTCTCAATAATGTACATTTTACATTTTGATACCCCAAATTTAATTTTAATGTAAACCGATTGAACAATTATTGTTTTGTACCTATTTTATGAGATTTTCGTAATTATAATTTTTTAAATTTATATATTGGTCAAATATTTAGATTTCACTTGAATACATGAATCCAATCCACCAGTCCTTTTGAACCAATCCATGATCCAATCCACCATAACATAAAAGTATAAATTTAGTTTGTATCATACAATATGTTGTATTACTAAACAGTAGGAGAAGATTCGACCATTTTATATTTGCTCATTACGTGAAACATTAAATAAATGATAAAAGCGACACGACTCTAAAATATTGCAAGAGAAAATTTATAAATTCATTTAGTACATTTACGGGGTACTAAACAAACGTCTACTCATTACATGTAACAGAATATGCGACATCCACATAAGCAAGTGTCAATAAATTGCTACGATGAAAAGGGTTGATTGTTGTATTGACGACTAACTAAAAGAATTGGTCAAAACCTTTCCATCATCTATTTCCTTTTCGTTTCATTTTTCACTTGTCTTCCATAACCCTTTCTTTATTTCTTTTTTTGTTATCTTTGTCTAACCCAAATTAGTATACTTTTTATGTATTCTAATCACAAATACGAACGGGTCCATACACGATCGACCAACAATCTAGAGAATTAATAATTGAACCAGGAACCACTAATTTTTTTAGCTCAATGTCGAGTCTAATTAATAATAAATATATATGGTTATTACTTATTAGAAAGTCGTCATTTTCCATTATGGGGTTTGAAGGCGTGAAATTTCAAGCGAGTTCCAGTTTGTATTCCTTTTGCTTCTCTCTAGAGTTTTTTTTCAGTCGGGCTAGAATTTTCAACAATTATACATGTAATTTTCAACAATTATATATATCAAATAAATATTTTCATATTTTTTTTATAAAAATATAAATAATTATCATCTTAAATACATCACCATAAAAGGAGTTAAGCCTCAACTATGCAAATTACAGTTGGATACCTTAACTTAACAAATCTTTAGATTTATAACCTAAAATTATTTTTTTGGTATTTAAGTCCTCAAAATATTGACGGAACATTACATTTTGGAATCTAAATTTTTTGTGTAATAATTTTAGTACCTAAACTTTTGAAGGTCTACAAATAGGTCTAATTTTTGTATGTATAATTAAAACACCATCAAATAAATGGATATCAATACCCAACTCATACACATTTAAATTATGAAAGTAAATATCCATACGCTACCCAAAGCCATCTACAAACTTCCAACTCCATAATATACGTCACCCATACCTACCTACAATCAATTGGTCTACTAGAGTTTAGGTAAATATCATTTATTAGCCAAAATTTTCAAGATTTTTTAAATTTTATGTTGACCGTCATATATCTTTTCTCGGTCAATATTACTAACAAAAGTGCTAATAATACTAACAAAATACCTTAACGGGTCACATAATATATGCCCGTAGGCCATCTCCGCCTCGCGATATCGCCACCTAGTTATATATCAAGTTTAAAATGTCCAAACTCATATCCGGTTAACAATTCATGCTTTAATATTGTAAGCAAATCAGATGAGTGTAGTGATGGCAATGGGGCGGGTTTGGGGCGGGTTTGCCTAAACCATCCCCATCCCCATCTTCAAATACCCGAACCCATACCCGCCCCATATCCATGCGGGGGAATGTTTTGCAAACTCATCCCCATACCCGTGGGTTTTGGGTACCCATGGGTAATACCCATCCCCGTACATCCAACATTATTATACCTAAAACTTACAAGAAAAGTTTTAATTATAACCATAAACAAACCTATTATATCATGAAGTCAACAAAACACGGTCATTTTCTAAATACGATTCAAAGAATATGATTCTAAAACATCCATTAATACATAATATAGACTACAATATTTTTTAAATTATCATGCTCTAACTCTTGATACATTTACTAAGTAATAATTAACTAACATTATCTTGTTGACAAGGGGGAAAATGAAAGAGTGGAAAGAGAATTGAGAGAAATGAATTAGGTTTTGTTTAAGGTGGTTACTCAATTGCATTTCTACTATTTATTTTCTCGAGTTATCATCATCGTCATTGATAGATTACAATTTAATCCACATATTTTTTATATGTGAAGAAATTCTCTTGGTGGGGCGGGTATGGGTATGGGTATGGGGCGGGAGAGGCTAAAACCATACCCGCCTCATACCCATCAAACATTTTGCGGGTTTTACCCATACCCGCCCCATACCCGGTCAAAGCGGGGATTCCCCGCGTTGACTGGGTCGGGGGCGGTCGGGTACCCACGACCATGGGTTTGATTGCCATCCCTAGATGAGTGTAAGAGTTGAACGCAACCGGAAACGAATTTTGTAAACTTGCCATAAAAACTATGCACTGCACAACCAAGAAGCAACAAATTTCCCCCAGTATTATAAGGGTAAAATAAGCAGTGCCAGCCACTATACTCTTTGGTCCCTTCCCATCCTTTCCCCCCACTTTCCAAATAAGATTTTAACCAAGTAAAGCCAAAATGGTTGATTTCTATTTATTGTTTTCACTGTTTCTTTTCGTTTGTTAAAAAGTTATAAAATGGCAATGGAAATGGATAAGCAGTGAGAGGAGGAGGAAGTTGTGTGTGGGGGAAGTGGTGGGTAGCCCATCTCTTCCCGGTCCCAACTCCAAACGAGGAAGATAATATGTACCAATTGTATCAGATAGAAATACAAATAATTAGAATTCAAATCTACTCATTTACGAAAGTCGGGATTAAACGTTTTCGATTAATCTATCAGTTTGGATGTTAGTCTTGTACTAAAAAAACAGCATAAAAATTTCAGTTGGTTATTTGGGTTTACAGAACCTGATCAATGCTCGTTTGTTTTCATTATGCCTGCCCCAAATTAATATGGACTCTAATAATCTTGATTTCTAACTTTTGTACAACACGATCGGTAAGCTTTGAACTTGTTTCTGATTAAGAAAATGCACTTTTTTAATTTGTTCTTCAGGGTCCTGTCCTGTTGTTGTGAAAAGAGAATGAGAAAAGGTGCGAAGTGAAGGAACAAACTAACAACTCAACAAGTGGGCATAATATAGATGGATCCGATCCCCACTGGCATTGCTGCCTCATCTGCCCATTCCCCCTTCCCTTCTACCAACCTAGCTATATTATTCATCACTGTCTTTGCCCATCCATCATATCAATGATCCAACTAACTCAACCCTTATCCAATCCAAATCTATCTCTCTCCCAAGGTTGTCAAACCGGTTTATGCCAGTGTGCCGATTTAGCAAGTGAAATGGTTCGACCGGTGGCACATACCGGTTTGTGTCGGTTCATGCCGGTCAATATTACAAATACTCATTTTAAATATGACATTTAACGTCAATACCTAAACATTTATACTTGAATCCAACAAATAACATCAATATTTAACATTTATACTCATAAAATAAATAATAAAATAATTTTTAATAATTAAAGTCACTAAAATAATTTTATTTTACTTAGAGATTCGTATATCGATCATGTCGGTCATATCGGTGGTGTCACGCCGATTTTATGACCGGTACAGGTTGAACCAGGTACAACCGATGGCACGCCGGCCGGCGTGACAACCCTGCTCCCCCCCTCTTCTAATTATTTAAAAATGTTTTTTTTTGTATATATATTAATATTGTGATCTCTTGAAAATAAAATAAAAATGAATACTTATGTGCCAAATACTCAAGCTAGATCATGCAAACTTCACCGTGATGAGATGGTTGGTGAAGAATACAAGTATCAATGACATGGTTTTGCTAAGCAATTCGCAACCACAAAAAGTTGAACTTGTGTTACAAGCAGAATTTTCATATATCGTTCGATGGAT